TTTTTTTTTTTGGTTCTTCCATTTTTGTTTACAAACACAAAATATACAGATGGTTAACATCAAATATTTAATTTCCAACAGATGATCAACACATTACCAACATATTATCAACATGTAACCAACATAAGGCTCACATATCTATATCTACCAATGTTGACTTCCATCAGATGTCCTACAACCACATAAGAACCCCTATAAAAAACAGTTGAAAAAATGGAACAAACACCAGATATACATACACCCCTATGATAAACTTAGTAATTTTAAGGCTGTATTTTTTCTGTTGCCTCCGACCGGATGAACTGTATATATCCGCTACGGAGGACAACATTCATTGTAAGGAGCGGATAACGAACGTGCCTATACAAGTGGGGCGGGTGCATTGTTTGTGCGACGCAATCGTATTGGATGTGCAGGTGTATGATGTTCTGCTAGGCATTCCATGGCAGGCGGCGGTCGGAGCACGAATGCACTTTGACAGCTGTAAGGTGGTGCTCACATCGGCCCACCCCAAACCACAAACGATACCGATGAGATTGGCGGTGCGTATGCGCACCCCGCCGGCGCCTCGAATCACTACGAAAGCCCATCAAATCAATATGATCCAATGCCTGTCACCAGGCGAAAATGAAACTTCATCGGAAACTGACGTGACCGATGTATCCGACCGATATCCAATCCAGGTTTAGGATTGGTGGTGCCATTCCTGGCGACGAGAACCCATGGAAATAGTTCGGAGCGAGTCCGATTGGTCGCACGCGTTCTCCTCCGTGGTGCAAGGAGAACCCCTGCTGAGGGTATTGCGAACAACTGACTTTTTGGAACCCCCTGCATCCTTATATCTTGGGACAGACCCCCTACCCGAAAGGTTTACGGAGCTTAGGGTGTTGTGCAATTTGACTTTTCGGCCTCCCAGGCCCCTACTTACGAACGCAAAAGTCGCCCTGCTCTTGAAGGAAGGGGTGTCGTTTCAACCCCGAACGAGGGAATATCGATGGAAGCCGAAGGAGCTGTTACAGGCCTTTTCAGTGGAACCCTCGGCTGAAACCGAGCTCGAGAACGACAGTGACATGGAAAATGGACCTATAAGCCCAGCAGACAGTCAACTCATCGCGATCGTGCTTTCGACAAAAAAACGACAATTCGCTGTTTGGTGCCTCACCCGAAGCCAACGCGGCAGTCCCCACAGTTACGTCGACGATCTCTCTCCCTGAGGGAAACGTGGACGTCCGGCTGCCGGCCCATGTGCCTGACGACTACAAGCGCCTTCTTTTGGCAGTTATACGGGCCTACCCAGAGGCTGTCAACATCCAAGACCACAATATAGGACTTACCTACCTGATCCAACACGCGATTGATACCGGTGATCGCGCCCCGATACATTGCCGACCGTACCTCTATTCCCTAAAAGAAAGATAGTTGGCCTTGGAAAGGGTACGGGAGTTCGAGCAGTTGGGGTGGGTTGAACCATCGCTTGGACCATGGTCATTTCCCGTGGTCCTCGTGCCAAAACGAAACGGTTCAATCCGAGTGTGTATTGACTACCGCAAATTAAACGTTATTACTACCAAAGATGTCTATCCGCTGCCGCGGATTGACGATCTGTCGGATGCTATCGGGTCCGCTTGGGTCTTTTCGAAGTTCGATATCCGACACGGTTTTCACCACGTCGCAGTCCGACTGGAAGACCGGCCCAAAACCGCTTTTGTCCTGTTCGAGGGCACGTGGCAGTGGATCCGGTGTCCCATGGGAATTTGCAACGCCCCTGCAATGTTCCAGCGGGCCATGAATATGGCCTTCGCCGAGTTCGTTAGCAAAACCCGTTTGACACAGCCGTTGATAAATTTCTGTGTGATTGTGTACATGGATGACATTTTGGTATTTTCCAAAACCTACGAATACCATGTGGAACATATCGAATGGGTGTTGCATGCGTTGAAAGATGCGGGGTTCAAAGTGGCTCTGGAGAAAAGCGAGTTTTTTCTGTCAGAAATTTCCTTTTTGGGGTACGTCGTTACAGTCGAGGGACTGAAACCTGATCCCAGGAAGGTAGCCGCGGTCCGAGAAGCCCCGGCCCCGGTCACGCTCACTCAGGTTCGAGCCTTCCTAGGGCTGGCTTCTTATTATCGACGCTTCATTAGGGGCTTTGCCTGCCTCGCCAAGCCGCTGACAAACCTGCTGAAGAATGAGGAGCAGCTGATCTGGACACCGGAATGCGAGGCGGCTTTTCAGGCACTCAAGGAGACTCTGACGTCGGCGCCCGTGCTAGCGCGTCCCGATCTGACAAGACAGTTTGCGCTACATACCGATTGGCAGCCGCAGGCGATATCGGCGGTGCTGACTCAACAAGGAACGGATGGAAGGGAGCACGCCATCGAGTATGCGTCGAAAACGCTAAGCCAGGCGCAATCAAACTACGAGGCGTGCAAGGGTGAGTGTTTGGCGGTGGTGTGGGGGGTTCAGCAGTTTCGACCGTATCTGTACGGCCAGAAGTTTGTGCTCGTAACGGATTATCAGCCATTGCTGTCGTTGCGGAACAACACGGACTACACAAGTACCTTGGGAAGGTGGGCGGTGAGATTGCAGGACTACGACTTCGACATCCGCCACCGTGCCACCAGGCAGCACGGGAACGCCGACGGTCTAACGCGCCTCCAGCCGCCGAACAAGAGTCCCGCGAACTAAAGGCTCATCCCGTGGAAGTCGATTTCGCCTTCGGCGGGACCCGGCTACGGGGAGGTGAATGCCCTCCGCAAGGGTACTGCAGCAATCGGAGATGGCGATCTCCCATGAGGAGACCGCCACCCCTTCGCCCCTTCCCTATTCTTTAACCCCCTCTCCTGACCTTGACTCCCCTCCGAGCACGCCTTCCGAAATCTGTTTCTTCTGCACCTTGCCCATGATGTCGGACGGGAGAGATCCTCCTCTCGAGGGACCTAGCTTTCTTCCCTGGGTACAATGTAGCCAATGTCACATCGTCCGGTCCCATGGGAATTGTGTCCGGTACCGGAATGAGAAAAGTTGGAACTGTCCCAACTGTCGAACGGACCACGTATCTACGGAAAAATGGTATCTAGAAGCCAGAACGGCAGACGGATTTTTGCTAAGTGTCCGCCGAGCGGAAGTCTGGACGAATCTTTTGCTATTACGAAGACTGATAGGCGACCCGCTGACGAAACTTACCAAGGCTGAACGGCGACGTGTCACGAAACGGGCGCACGATTACCGCTGGCAGGGATCCGTCCTTCAAAAACAAAAAGACGATGACGTCGACGGATTTAGTTGGCTGACGGTTTCACACCCACTGGCCAAGTTCAATTGGACACGAGCCACCCACGAGGAGGATGCGGTCCACTTTGCAGTCAAATACACGGAAAAAGCAATAGAGAAAAACGGATGGTACTGGTCGGGAATCCGGGAAGATCTGAAATACATCGTCCGGACTTGCCCGGCCTGTGCGGCCGATAAGGCGCCGATACAGATGCCCCGTACAATAGTGCCTACTCGGGTAGAGCGCCCCTTCCAAAGGGTCAGTATTGATACGACGGACATCAACGTGCCGAGAGGTCTTGTTGATCAAGGAGGACTCAATGTTCTTCTTGTAGCCGTAGATCATTTTTCGAAATGGATCGAAGCGTATCCCATGACCAGCCGGAACTCACAGGAAGTAGCCTGGTACATTAATCGTTTTTTGTGCATGCACTTGGACGTAGAAGAGATACATATGGACAATGGATCCGAATTCCAAGGGGAAGTAGAGCGACATCTTGTAAGGGAAGACGTTAGGATTTCGTACTCCCAAGGGCACTGGCCTCAAGCCAATGGGCTCGTAGAGAACGCCAACCGAATGATCAAAACTGCACTTAGACGGAATATCACGGCAGGTGATACCAAACCCTGGCCTATCACAGTCGACCACATTTTGGCCGTCTATCGGGCTACTCCCCATGGGAGCACCGGGGTGTCCCCGTTCCAACTGAGAACCAATATGTTCCCTGAGTGCAGTTGTCACCTCTAGTGGGTACGAAAGTTAGAGTGACCCGGGCCCAACACAAGGACAAGGCCCAGCATTACCTGGATCTGATGGCCCGGACCTATCCCGCGTTAGCCCGAAGACGACAAAGGGCCGTGGATCTGACGCATCAACGGCAGATCCGGGATTATGAGAACCGACACGCGACAGCGGGACCGATGCCCCGTTATGAAATCGGGGACTTGGTGCAGGTACGAAAATCTGCGCGTTCCTCCAAGATCCACCCACGCTATACCGGCATTTACGAGGTGACGGAAGTTGGCGCACGAGGACAGCACTCCGTGAAGCTGGTCCCCCGACATAGCACGCAGGCCAGGACGCTTACGAGACACGCGGCGGCTCTTCGACAATTTTGGCCATCTTCGGGCCGCGAATCGGCTCTTGCCCCTTCCGAGCCTTTGTCCTCTCTCTCCTCCTCTCCTTCTTCGTCTTCTTCTTCTTCCCGATCTGCCTCGTCCCTTGGTGCTGAGAGTCTCAGGGAGCAGGATGAACCATCGCCAGCCGGAGCATGAGCCCCTCGAGCACTTCCAGACGCCGCTTGCAGATTGCTTGTTGCGGCACCAGTTCAATGAGGAAAGGCAGTTGCGATACGACATTCAGCAGGTGAACGTGCCAGCGCCCGGGGTTGCTGATCTGGCGGCATACTCGTTACTTTGTGATCGGTTGACGTATGTGGGGGTGTACGTGGATGTGACGCAGTTGCCTGGGCGGGAGATGACTCGAGTGTTCATAGAGTTCCGCGCGCTCCAGGTGGCACCTAACTTCGTGCATAGCGTCGCCACCTTTATCGGAGACCTGACGATCCTGCCGCAGCCGAATCAGGAGCCGGCACGAAGCTTTGTGCGCGAATACGCAGTGCAGGCGGCGAGATCAGTGGCCAGAGTGCAAGGACTGGGAGGACACCGATTCACAGCCCAGGAAGCTCTGTTACGCAGGGCAGCAGACGGACCAATTGCGTTGGTGCCACAGCTCCCTGCGCTTCTTCCTCCCGCCGCCCCTCTCAACATCCAAGCTATTCCCCCTGCCTCGTACTAAATGCCTCCCTTTTTCTCTTACACCACTCTCCCCTATCAACTCACGGAGGGCCCTTATCCTATGCGCGAGTTCTCGAGTTCTCGAGGTATTTGGTGGAGCTGACTGACGTGGAGCCGCTGCCCTTCGCAGACGAAGACGCGTGGGAGTTGCACCGCGCGCTATATAAGTCGGTGGTGTTGGGGATGTTCCGGTTCTTCATGGAGCACGAAGACCACTGCATCGGGGAGCACTTCGTCGTCTATTACGTCATCACGCAGCCCAAGCCGGCGCAGAAGGAGGGGACGGTGGCGTTGTACCTCTTTGCCCGCTTCCAGACGACCGATCCGGGATTGTTGGAGCTCATACATCTTGAACTCCTATCCATTGCGCAAGTGATCGCGAGCGAGGAAGAGGAGATCCAGCCACGATTGCGGACGGCGGCTGCCCCACGGAGAACGTACAACGAGGTCGTCATCCCAGATTACATTGCGCAGCGTGAGGAGAGGTTGGAGGAATTCCCTAAGGAAAAGCCGTTGCGACCTCCCTCGTCGTATCCCAGACCTGCGCCGCCAAAGGCCCCCAAGAAGACGCCGAAGAGGAAGAGGCGCCACCCATCGCCAGGAGCGCAAGGCAGTCGAATCAATGGCGGCGAGGAGGTGGTTCAGCCCGTGCACGCGCGGAATCCCGACTCTGTGCCTGTGAGGGCGGCGACGCTTGTTAAGGAGACGGTCGTGCCATCGCCGCCCCTCCCGCGCGTACCCGATCTCAATCTCGATGGAGCCGGGCCATCAGCCGCAGCAGCCGGAGGAGGAAGCCAAATGGGATTACCGGATCCTGTATCCAGAACCCCCGTCCTCGCGGGACCTTTCCGCTTCCGCCAGCCACCCCGAAGTGCCCCGATCATTGACATTAGCAGTTCCTCCGAGCCGGACGGTCCACCCGACAGAGGTGGATTTCATGGTGGAGCCCACCACCATCAGGCTCGAGGCCATTGCGGGGGCACTGCGCCCTGATCCGGCATGGGAGCCATATCTGACCCCCTCTTTTCAAGGGTGTATCGCGGCGATGCTGGCGGGGACGCTCATCTACGAGACCGGGTAGCGTCCCAATGTGATGTATCACTTCCTTGTCTTCACAGCGTAGAAGCGGGAGCGGCGGCCCTACACCGAGACTCATCTGGTGATGACGGGTCCCGGACCCCGATCGGTGAGCAAACGGGTGGTGCGAGCGGTGGCGGATCTGGCGCCACGTGTCCTGTCTCATGTGCCGGGGGCCTTTCTCTATCCCTCGTTCGTCCAGCACCACTTCCACGAGGAGGACGCGCCGACGACTCCCGCGGCAATGGCCGCTTTCCTTCCCCCTATTCCGCCCCCTCTTAATCCCGACATCGATCACTTCCTTTGATCACCCTCGCCTGCTTCTCCTTTTTTCTCTCCTTCTCTTTCTCTTCATCGTCTTCTTCTCCTATGCCCAAAGTTCGCGCGTCGAGACGCGCTGTACAAAAAAAAATATATATTAGATTTTCATAGGACTAATTACCAATCGGGCCAGTTAACGATGAAGGGGCCGCCCGATCGGATGTATAACACGAGGGAGACGACCGACGATGCGAAATGCATCAAAGTAGAGTAGGAGATGATCGGGCCAGCTGACGATGAAGAGGTCGCCCGAGCATCCAAAATATGATGACATCAGCAGTCGGGAGACTACTAATTTTTCGGAACCCCCTGCGCATAACAGATGTGATGAGCTCAGACCCGTACCGCGCGGCTTGCCGTATCCCTGAGGAAAAATCCCCCGGAAGCCCCGAAGTACGGATGCGAACAAAAAGGGGTTTTTTCTTTCTTTTTACTTTTGTTTTCTTTTTGAAACGACTTTTTCACTTTTCTTTGGTTAATAACTCCCGCGCGGGCGAATACCGGCCGCGGTATGAAAACCAAGAAACGGTTTCGGTTGGGACTTTTTGAATTTTTGCGCGCGCGCGCCTAAGCTCCGACTTCTTCACGCGCCTCGCACCCCCGTGTCTTGCTTTGCATCCTCGCGCCATCTTCCTTTCTTGCTGCGAGCGTTTTCCCCATGCAGGACTCTTCGTCTTTCCCTACGCCCAGCTCGATCCCCACCCCGTCTTCCTCCGCGAGTCAATGGCTGCGTACTTGGGATGCGCGGATCAATGTGGAAGGCGAAAAGGCGCACCACTTGAACGAACACCCCAATCACGCCTGACCATGCGACTCCGCGGAACACCCCTTCCGAAACCCTTCACCCTTCTTCTGTCCTGCTCGTCTACAACCGGCGCTGCCCTCACCTCGCGTTGACAACCCGCCGCCTCCCACGCTATAAATTGTCGCAACCCCCTCCTCTCCTCCTCTTTGATCTCGGCTGCAATGCTGCGCGAGCTATGCGCGAACGTCCGCGATGCTGAACAGGCTTGACGAGCCCAAGTGACGGGCGGAGTGACGACGTGGGTCGGGCTTAGCGATAGACTCGAGGTAAGCCAGCTGGAGGGATTGAGCAGTGGTGGAGATCGGACAGGGTCTTGTGGCTATGGTGGTTGGTGGTCCTTGGGAAGTTTGCGGTTGCGCCTGAGGGCGTCAGCCAATTGGAAACTTTTGTGTACAACGAAACTCGCTTTTTCTCCATTGTTGCTCTGTCTCCGTGAGATGTATGCAACGTCTAGTCGAGTGGGTAATCGGTTGTATGCATGGGAGTGAGTCGCGGTGAGATGGTCTGTGAAGGGGTGTGAGTCTGCGTATGCATGTATGTGGTCCTTGGGTATTGCGTGGCGATTGTCTGCCTGGATGCATGATTAAGTCGGCCATCGTACCTCTTTCTTCTTTTGCCTCATTCCTTTGGTAGTTTCGTTGCTCGATCGCGTAGGGCGAGGGCCTTAGCGTACTGAAGGGATCCCTCCCGTCCTGCGCGCTCGAGTCGGAGTCCCGCGGCGCCGACGTCTGACGTGGCGCATCACTGTTGAGGACCGGAGACGTTCGCTGTGCCCGCTGAAGGTGGTTAGCGAACGGCTCCGCCTCTCCTTCGGACCCCTCTGGTTGAGTGGTGTCAAACCCGAGAGAGAGACGTTGTCACTCTTTGTATGGAGACGGGTTCCCAATCCAGCACGGGTTCTTGCCCGTGCACTTACCCCGACTCCACACGTCGCAGTGCACTCCCGATTTTCCCCATCGTCGACGACGACAGCGTCTGCTGCGACGCGGACGTACGGAGTGCCCTACGACACACGGAGCAGCTTCACTGGCACAACCCTGAACGGGCTTGCCACATCGAGGGGGAAGGGTTTGTGCTGATAGGCTGCTTTTCTTCCCAGCCCCTTATACTGCCTTACACCGACCTGACGGTGCTCCCCTGGTCTGCGGCTTGCGCCTCGTGGCGCCCCCAGTTTGGTTGCCGTTGGTGCCAGCAGGGGGATTCTTGCTCGTGGCGAAGGCTGGTTCTGGGGTACGAAGGGGCCGCCCGGTTCCCTGAACTCTCGCGGGACGCCGGAGCTCTCCCTGCCCGTTTTCGTACTTCGACTGCGGAGACAGCCCCCGCCCACCGAGTTCCCGAGGTCGTGAGTCCCCGAGGCCTCGACGAACCCGACGACGAGGATTGAGAACCCGCGCGGGGGAATCCATCGCCCCTCGCCGAACAGGCCCGACGAGGAATAGGTCCTCCGTCCCTCCTTTTTCCCCAACTAGAGAAACCGGGTCGGACCCGTCCGTTCACCCCGTTCTCCTCCCCCTTGTTTTTGGTAATCCTGACCAAGGATCGAGCCCCAGTCGGGGGAAACCTATCGGCCCCGAAACGAGAGACTCCCATTCCTACCGGGAGACTCAACCCCCATGGCCAAAAATCCTCGGCCACGCCCCCTTCTACTCTGATCGGCGACCCAGTACGGAAAGCCGCGACGGGGCATGAGGTTGCACATCACACGCCTGCCCATAGTCATGTAATGATGATGAGGAGTTGGTACAGCTTCGCTCTTGCGCCATCACTATGGTGCAAACCTGCCGCATGGGCTAGGGAAAGGTACGGGTTGGTAGGTGGATGTTCCGTGGTAGTGTGCAAAAACTAGAGACATGAGGAGATCAGGAGACGAACAAGAGACATGAGGAGAAAAGGAAACGAAGAAGCCAAATGATGTTGGAGCTGGAGATTGAGAGATGCACACAGGTTGGAACCTGCAAGCGAGCAAAGAAAAATCCCTCGCATTTCGTCCTCCATTTAGAATCAGCATAGTGGCCTGTGCACGTGCACGGGTTGTGACGACAATGTCCACGCCGGGAGGCTTTGCACGTGCAGCGGCCAGTGACACGACAACTATGGTGGACTTCGACATCTACGAACTTCGTCTGACTTTGATTCGCACCTGATAGCAGCGACGACAGCTAAGC